TTAGCGTCAAGCGCTAATGCTGGCGTTTGGCGCTAACTTAAATATTGACGCGTTTTCTAAAAATCAGATAGAAATTTCCGTACAGGAGGATAAAATCGTATTTTCCTCAAAAACATTCTTTTGTTCTGATTAAAACTCTAAAAAGTCAACAAAAGTCAATTTATCAATGCTAATTGAATTAGGAATGAAAAGAACCTTCTAGAAGAATTTAGAAGACTAAAACCATTCCTAATTGCATTAGGAATGATAAATCCATATTAGGCCCTCCTCTAGATCATTGGGCCGCATATGAGGCTCAAACCGCGCCCAGTTCAGTAATTTGGCCATAACTTCCTCAATATTCATCGGAATTGGGCTTATAATATATCGTTGGAAAGCTCTTTTCAAGCCCTATCCAACTACACTACTATTAGACCCATATCATGGACCAACCAAACTGGATTGGCTGTTTTCGTAAAATAGGTTTTCAAAAACAGAGAGAAGAGAAAAGAAATTAAAACTATCCACAACACTAAACTTTCCACACTTTCACTTCATTCGATTATGATTCGACGTGAAAGGTACTCATCATCGGGTTTGGTTTTGGGGAGACACAAATGGGTGTCTACAATCACTAAAGCATAAAATAATCACAAAGGGCAAAATAGGAAATATACCTTTGACGCGTGCTTCGCCCGACCGAATGGGCTCTTACTTGAAACCTTAGCCCCGAAAACACGAGAGCCTCTAACGCAAATCCACCCACAAAAATGACTTCCGACTTTTAGGTTCGTTGCCTCGAGATTAGCGAGGCCCGACCAAAACCCGAGTATTATATGAGTTTAAGGGTTTTTGCAAATGCAATGCCCTATTGAACTCCTAATCAAGCAAAGAATTCTCAAGCCATGATTTGGCTATTTATAAGGAAGGATAGCTTGTGAATTCCACTCATCTTTCAATGTGGGACTTTTTCACAAAAAGATACCACATGGAAAGATTGATGAATTCAACCCTTAGTTAAATAAACCAAGGAACAAGTAACAAGTTTCACATGGTTAGGTGATGACCACTTTCTCACTTGGTCCCCAAGGCATTTTACATGCATTGTGAACTAACCATGTGTCACCCAACATTGAGCCCCAAGTTGGGTTCGGTTGGGCCATTTTCTTTTGGCCCGTGTCCATGACCCGTCACCCAGGTCCACGGCCCCTTGCCTTACGTGCCGCCACCGTGGCGCGCTGCCAACGTGGCACGCTGCCACTTGGTGGCTGCCACGCGCGTTGTCACATGGCGTTTGCCATGTGTGCTGCCACGTGGCACGCTCCTATTTGGCGCGCTTTCCTAGCCTTTCGCATGGCTAGGATTTTAATTATTATTTGAAGCATTTTCCCATCTCTAAATTTTGGCTCGACATTTGAGATTCTCCGACGCTCGGTTTCGACGCTCAATGCTCGAATTTCCAACGTCTAAATATTTAATACTTGGGCGACTCATTAATTTCTTCCGAATTAATTTGTCGAGTCAGTTTGTTAATTGCTTGGGTGTGACCCGAAGGGTTCAGTCAAGATTAAGCTGTAATATTAATTATTCATTAATATTACTGATCGGAAGTGGCCTCCACCTAGGCATTCCGATCACTTGACCTTATTGAATATATTATCTTTCTAATAATTCTGAACCCACTATCAGAATAATACACTTGTTCAAAGGACATTATTCCTTTCAGCTGAAACATAACAAAGATATGCAAAGAATATGAAGAGAATTCATAGGAACAGAACCATATAGTCTTTCATAAGGTGTAATTGAATCAATAGATTTGAGTGGCATCCTTTTAATCAAATAAGCTGCAGCCAATATGCAATATCCCCAAAAACGAACTGGTACTTTGGATTGAAAGAATTGTGCTCTACTAGTTTGCAAGAGATGATCGTGCTTTCTTTAAACTACCCCATTTTGTTAAGGTGTGTCACTACAAGACTTTTGGTGGAAAATACCATGCTGTAAAAAACAGTTTTTTCATACTTCCTTCTGTAAGATCAAGAGCATTATCTGATCTCACAGCCAAAACCTTGGAAGAAAATTGAGTATTTACATAACTGAGAAACTTAGTCATAATAGAAACTAAGACACTTTTATTCTTCATAAAATGAATCCAAGTCATTCTTGAATAGTCATCTACAATTGTGAGAAACTGGTTACAACCAATGTGTGTGACATGAGTGTAAGGACCCCATACATCTATATAGACAAGCTCAAATGGCTTACATGTTTATATTGAACTAGTAGAAAATGAAAACCTAGACTGTTTAGCTAAAGGACATACTTGACACAAATTTTCAGCTAAACAACCACGTACATCAGTACCATACCCTTGATGGACTTTATTTTATCAAAAGACATATGAACTAAACAAAGGTGCCAAAGTTTGGCTTCTTCAACTACTGCTAGACTATAATTTCTAAGATCAACAGCATTATTTACACTCAAGTGATCATAAAGACTATACAATCCTCTGTCCAATCTACCAAGCACTATTGGACTGATCAAAGAAGGGCCCTGAAATAAGCATGTATCATTAGTGAATGATACTGAACCTGAAACATCTTTATAGAGTTTTGATATTGAAATCAAATTAAACTGAAAATCAGGAACATGCAGGACATTACTAAGAGTAATGCCTGACTTAAGCAAAATTGTCCCTGTGTGTTAAACTTTTAATTTCTTCCCATCTGGTATTGTTATGAATCTATCATCATATAACTTTGAGTATGATTTAAACATTGAAATATCAGCACACATATGGTCAGAAGCTTCACTGTCTAGAATCCACTTATGAAGTAATGAAGAAGCGAGATAGAATTTACCTGCCAAATGAGAAGTTGTTGCTAAGCAAAGGGAACTTGAACCTCCAGAGAGTTCACCTTGCTCAGCAAACTGTTGTTTGTTAAGATGATGCAGAATTTGTTTGTGATGTTCATGAGTCACTGACAAATTGACCAAATCTGCTAACTATGAGATGCTAGAATCATCTCCTGAGAACTGATGTTGCTACTCTCTTTCCTTTGTTCTTGAAATCAGAAGGATATTCATGCAGTTTGAAACATTTCTCTCTTGTGTGATTCCTCATTTTTGCAATAATCACAGTATAGATTGTTCCTAGTATAGACAAAATTTCTTGTGCTTGATCCTACATAATTAGACTCAACTATTTGTCCTGCACCTCCAGTGGAATTATAGAATCTGTTGTTGTTGAGATGAGTTCTGTTGTCAAGGAATTTCTTAGTATAAAATGATGCAGATAGATTATGTTGATTCTTGATGTTATTCAAGTTCATATGAGTTTGCTCTTGACGTTCTAATTAATTGATGGGTCTTAAGAAATTACAAAATTACACATGTGGGTAAGAAGATAAACAAATATTTTGAGGGGTATAGTGGTCTGTGCACTATTCATAAGAGCAATCTTTTACTTTTATAAGGTAGGGATTATACCAATCATGTGTTGTCATGTGACATTAAAAAAAAAAAGTTTATCCATTCAGCAAGTAATCGGTTTTTGGGTCTATTGAAGACAAACTCAGGGCATAGTTAGGATTTTTTTTTTTTTGTTAAAAAAAAAAAAAACCTTAGTTGGAATTATTAGAATTAAATTGGTAATATTTAAGATTATTAAAGTGTATTTTTTTCGTTTTTTTGTTTTCTTTTCTTTTGTTCTCACGTGTGGAAAACTTGTTTTAAATTAAGTTAATATAAACTCGTTCTATATGCAAGACTCTTTGTGATGTGCTTTAAATTGTTATCACTAGAATCTTGACAAATATTGGGTGACGTTGATGGAAGTATCCAAAAGTAAGACCCGTATGGATAGATTAATACTTCTATTTTATAGGAAATAATACGTGTACAAAACAAACGAGAGGACTATCAGAATTCAGAGTTCTTAATAGTTGTCACACCCCAAGACCTCTATTAAAAGACACTATCAATTTTGTGGAATATTTTCTATGTGAAATTGTAAGTTCATTTGACTATAACTAATGTGATGTGATATATACGAAGTATAATATTAGGAGTACTTTATTACTTAAGATTTTTGGTGTAACCAACTCTCAATGATATATTTATCATGTCATTATTTACTTTCCTAAAATATACGGAGTAGATATTTTCTCTCTAAGTCATACTCTGTATAAATCAAGTAACAAATATTTGATAATTATTTGATAATTGATATAGGATAGAATTTGGAGGCCAATCTCCAACACTAGTAAGCAAAATAACAAAATAAAGTATACAAAATAAATGGATGGATAAATTTGAGATACTTTAATCAATTTGATTTGGATCTCCTACAAAAGGGGTAAGATGATAGAGATATATGAAGTATACAATTGCAAATGTTAAAAATCTTAGATACTACGTACCCGTATAAAACAACACTTTTCAATAATTCTCGATGAATACGGAATTCCTACCAAGCCATCCTTGCCAAAATGAGAATAAATTCTAATTGATCAAAACACCACATCAAATTTGGGGTCAAGTATTCCTTTATAATTCGAATAAACATTATGATGAATACTAATAAGTGAAAACCAGTGTTTGATTATTAGACTTTAGGTATCCTATTCTCTTCCTTTTAATTAGGCTATTTACTACAGAAATCGAAGGTTATCATGCAAAGATACCTTCTGTTTAGAGATTATGCCCAGTATATTTAACGACTAAATTCATTACCTACTTTTGGTAAGGCCATATACTTCTTCTGCCTCTCTGAGTGGCTAGGGGTTACAAGTGAAGTTGGGGATATTGTCCCCGTTTTGAATGAACAACATTAACCACCGCGTAAATTATCTAGAATGTCATATATAATAACAATACTATCTTTTATAAAACTCATATCTCAATTAGCTATTTAGACGTTAGATGGTAACAAGTTAGCTCTAAAAACAAAGCCTGGAATCGTAACACGCAAGCACGCTGAGAGAGAGTAGAAAAGCAGTGGGGCAGATAAGAAGTTGCTCAAAAAAGAGATTTTATACATGATTGTTGTAAGGGAGAAAACATGACAGAGGCTGGCAAGAAGCCAGCCTGCAAAGTGCAGAATAGCTGCTGCAATGCATCAACATGGCCATGGATATTGAGAAATGAAAGAAGAATCTCCCAGAGCCAGAACCAGTAGCCTACATACATACAAGCAATGGAGCAATTAATTTCTGCTCATGCTAACCAGCCCAGTGAAATCCTTAACTGCTGAAGTACTCTGAGGGTATTGAGGGAGGGCAGTTCTTCTTCGCCACAAATTTGTACTGATACAAGAAATATTTATATGGAATGGATCAATTTCTAACTCTCTTGATTGACATCATAACTTTACACACACCACATTAATATGAAAAACAAACTGAACTAGTAGAGTAAATTTAGACCTGCTGTTTTAACCATTATTCATTCAGAGTGAAAGAGTGCATATGATTCAGCACTGAGTGAAATGATTTGAATACTAAATCATTGAACTTTGATTATTTGATTCATGTCTAAGAAAATTTTTTTTTCTTTTTTTTTTTTTTTAAAGCACTCTCTTCATATAGAAAGAAATGGTGTAGTTTCCAAATGAACATGGAGAAGTAACAAGTCTCCTGGACATGATGAAAAATCAAAATTAAGTCCATACCTTATGCTGGCTGTACTTCTCTCTGATTGCTGACAAACTAGAGCTGTGGCTGCTCAAGCAAAGCTGATGTAGAGCTTTCACGCATTCGAGTAAATCAGAAGGTTTGTAAAGTGTGTAATGTAGCAAAGTGGAGTTCTGCAAATATTCAATAAAGAGATATTACACCATGTTTCTAGGAAGCTAGGATGGAATACACAGTCCAACAAAATCCAATAACATACCCAAGGTCTCTTAGATGGACTGAGTATGTACTTGGCCAAAAATACTGATGAAGCAGCAGTCAGTGATGGGGCATACTGAAGCATGTTGTAATCCAAGAGGGATAATTCAGCTACATAGTTTGACAAGCACTCTAACTGCATTGATGGGGCCTTTAAGGGAGAAAAGCAATAAGAAAACATTAGTTAAAAAGCGTGTAACAAAGCAATTACAAAGATGTACAAAAAAATTGATGTCTACAATGAGATCCAATAAAATAAACGAGGAAAGATATATCAAGCATAAATGGATATAAAAATGACATTCACACACCTCACTCATCACTTGAGCAGAACGGATGAATCGCCTAATGTCAAGTCAAATAAAACAAAATTAGCAGTAATGGGATGTCATTGTTAACTTAAACTACCCAAACCAAAATTACAGATAAACATAAGATTAGTCAATAAAATTATCCTTTTCTACCTTAAGAAACATTTTGTGGTCGGGGCAGTCATTTCAAACTTCAGAAAGTTCAGCACCGTAGCCTCCATTTCCAAAACCTTTTGAAAAGCAAGTTTATTTGATCAGTATAAGTCTACAAATTAAGGTACTTCTCAGATTGCAATGAGTGAAAACATGGTGTTAGAGCCCAAACCTCCTCCTTAAGATATGTGTTGTCAGTAATGTAACAGAATTCCTCCACCTGGGGTGCACATATCTCCTCATATTTTCTGCAAAGCCATTCAGTCATCACTTCAATAATTATTCTTGGGCAAACATACAGTAGGAAAAAAATATAAAAACCCAAGTGGAAAATTAAATTACTTACGATGCAATCATCATGCATGCCACACCCAGCAACTGCAAGCGTTGCCGGTTAATAGTATTGCCAGAAAGATATCTATCTATGTAGTTAACAGTCAAATATAGGGTGTCGGGGACAAGCCTGTATTCTTCAGCAACCTGCAATAATTATAAAACTCAGTTTCAGAGAACTCTTAAGTGAATGAAACTAGACATTTATATATACTACGTAACTCAAACCTGAAATTTATATTTACAATTCCTTAAAATAATGTTCGTAACAGATTAGAAAGCTAAGCTACCTCTACAAGCCAGTCAATGAGTATGGCACGCATACTGGCATTTATGTCTTTCTGAATCTTCTCTATGAAGTCTGTTGCAGGTCTTTTCAATGTCTGAAAAAACAAGGAAAGTAATGCAATCAAAAGAGAGCAAAAGATGAGGCATGTAGCTGCATTAGTGGATATGAATGGGGGGGCAGGGAAGATAATCAGCAAGCTACAGAAAAATAGGGGAATGTCAAACCTCGGATGCACGCAAATGCTTGTATATATCACAAGCTATGGTTGCACAAAACTGAGGATCCATGTACTTGTCATCAACATCAACAACTTTGTCAACATCCATTTCTGAAAGTATTTCTCTCTTACAGTAATTCCCTGCAAAAGCAACATTGAACATGAGAATCAAATACAGCTAGACTAAGTCTTAAAAACCAATCAATTAAACATCAATACTCAGAAATCTTACATAGAATACATCAAAACACTAAAAGATACCATAACAGCTACTGAGCACCAAGACTTTATAAGTGTCAAATCCAATAATGTGAAATAGCAACTGAAGGTAAATAATAAACCTGCAATTTCCAATTTGTCATCAATGTGAAGGTTTTCAGATGTTTTTCTTTGAATGGAGCCTAGCAAGGCTGATTCACTCTCATCCAAATACTCAAATTCTGGGCTTTTAACTGAATCACATGTAGACATTGAATCTTCCATAGAAACAGAATCTGCATCCGATCGACTTGGAGAGATATCCATCCTACTTGAAGCTGATGGAACACCCACACGAGATAATTTCGGCGAAGTAGCCCTGTAAACCTCCACAACATCATTTCTAGGTAAAGATGTCTTTGATGAAGCCGCGACATTGGGTTTTTTCGTAAGCAAAGCCGGCAAGTTACTCCCCGGAAAATTTGTACTGTTGAAGCTTGTTGCATATCCTTTTTTAGCCTTTATATTTTTTGAAGTAGCACATGGTACCTTCAAATATGAAATTACATCAATTAGTATAATAAAACTAGTACATTTCAACTGTTCTAGTTTATACACCACAGCATTCCTAGGCAAAATTAGCAATGATTATAGAAACATCAATGGTACCAAAAGAGCTCCCTTCAAATGTACAATAAAGTATTCTTCTAATCACAAAAATTAGAATAAAGTATGCATAATTTTGACAAACACAATTTATAGATAGATAAACACCCTATAATAACCATGAGTTGGAAGGAACAGGCTTCAATTTAGAACTGTAGAGGCTTAGGAAACAAGATTCAATGTAAAAATCAATTAGCAAGGTAGATTTTAAAGCAAATGCCATAAAATCAGCCACAACAAAGTTCTAGCTAGACAATTAGCCTCACCTAAGAGAAATTCAAACATATGAAAACAAAGTTCTTAGGTAAAAAATTCTTGGGTAAAAAATCATAACACAATAACACAGTTTCTTGAATCGCAAAATTTACATAATTGGACTATATTTGGTGTGATTTATACCTTTAATAAAACAGAAACATCTATGATTTTGTTGGCTGTGTCTCAACATATACTTTGAAATTATCAACTTTTTATACTCCTTATATTATTACTTATAATCATAGATGAATGATAATGGTTTAAATTCCTCCCAAAAAAAATGATAATGGTATTAGTTATGTATTGATAAACGTGTTAAAAAGGTCAGAATTATAAAAATGGAGAAAACCAGAAATTAAGGCTATAATAATTGAGCAGTAAATCAAAATCATATACTTATAGAAATTGCAGCAACAAGATTTTGCTTCCTTTCGACTGGTGTCTATGGCAATGGAACATAATTTTGCTCAATATTCATAAAATTAAACTCACTGATTCAGTGACCTATAAGCAAATTATAGCCAAGATTTTCAATTTTTATGATTAATTCATCCAAACAGAATATGAGAACAAGAATTGCCCAAAATTGCAATTGAAATAATAAATAGAAACAAACAAACTACACCCAGAAACCCGAAAGAAGGAATGTCCAAGATTATTTGAAAGAAGAAGAGTGAAGAAGGCTTACGAGATGAGGAATGGTGGCAGCAGAAGAAACAGAGGGACGACTCTGATTGGTCAAGTTGGAGAGAGGAGGTCGCTTCCTGTTGTTAGGGTTGGGTTTTGAGTTTGAGATTACATTTTCCGACGCCGGAATCTTCGTCGCTTGACGTTTCGACGCTGCCGACGAACCCAAACTTTTCCGGTGACTTTTTAGCGTCGACATTGTAAACAATATTAGGGATTATCCACGCTCTCTCTCTCTCTCTCTAAAAACTGTTTCCTCTTTCGAAATCAGGGTTTTGAATTTAGGCGGTGAATTCAATTTGGGGATTTTCTTTCTTACTTTGTTTGTTGTTCTCTTGTTCAGAAAACAAGTGAGAGTGTTTGTATATAAGGCCGTGTTTGGTTTTTATTTAATAAATGGGGAGCGTAACTTCCATAATACTCTCTCTCTTCAAATAAAATACTTGTGACATGTGGGTGACCTATCAACCAATGACAGACCAATAGCACCTTGTTTTTTTGAATGTTTTGGACCACAACGTCTTTATGTAAGGTCACAGCTTTGTTAAGTTAGCTACATGTATTTAACTTGTAAATTTAAATTTTGAATTTGAACGTTAACATTTTTCTTCTTTTTTTTGACTTTTTGTCCAGCACTCTTGCCAAGGCTTTGCAGTTTGCAAGGCAGTGTGTGTGTCTTACCAGTTTCAGTTTGAAATATCACCCTTACAACTTCACAAAGTCACAAAGCATGAAATTAAAACATTGGAGAAAAACACTCATTGTCTCATTAAGTTTTGTTTGGATGGTATATTTTTCTTAGACGCAAAATAAATCAGGTTGGAGTAGTATTGTACGAGTATTTAAAAAGTTATGCCCTATGTATAGTAATTTTGAAAAAAAAAATTGAATCTATAATTGCTTAGGACAAATATAACAATGAATTAATACAAATCAACTTTAATTAGAAGTATAAGTTAGCTAAAATAGAATTTAAATAGAAAAGAAATTTTAATTTGGCGAAAAGACAATTTAAACAAGACTATTACTTTTCCTCAAAACTAAGCGAATGAGAATAATCTTTGAGTAATGGTGGAATAATGTGATGCATGTTTAGTGAGAGCAAAAAAAAGGTAGTACATGTCCTACTTTTTTTTTAGAGGATATTGAATGAATTACTAATGACTAAATCTTTTACAGTAATACAAATAATGAACATTGATTTTAATTGAGTTAGGGTCTGTTCTCATTGACTGAACTCAGCTGAACTGAACTGAACTTAATATTTTATAAGAGAAGGAAATTAGGAATTGAACTGAACTGAACTGAACTGAGCTAAACTGAACTGAACTGAGCTGAACTAAGTTGAACTGAACTGAATTGAACTGAACTGAGCTGAACTGAATTGAACTGAACTAAACTAAACTGAATTTCAACGTAAGAGAACAGACCCTTAGTGCCTGTAAATTATTTTTCCCCAAAACTTCCTACTTGACATTAAGCGGTTTTCTTTAATAAAATCTCTTATATGCTCTTCTACAATAACCAAAACAAATAAATAGAGTTCGTTTGGTGTTGTTGTAATTTTCTATTTAATTGATTTATTTAAAAAAAGAAAAAGCTAACAACAAACGCCCCGGGGGCGTTGGATAAGCGAGTTAAAAGTAGATGATTAAATTAAAATTAGCATTAAATATACTGATTGACATTAGAACAATGAAGCAAAAAAATTGGTCAACTAATTAAGATTATGTCAATTTTTTAAACTAACATTAGAATAATGAAACAATTTTTCTAGCTTAGTTTCGTTTGACATCGCTATGATTTTCTACTTTTTGGTTTTTTATTTTTCAAAACCATGTCATATAATGAATAAAAAATTAATGGTCAAACTTATTAAAATCATGATAATTTTGAAAACTGTCAACTGAAAAGTAGAAACATTTTTTTCTTGTTTCCAAATTTTGGTTTTTTGGTATAAAAAACAAATAGAAAACAAAAACAAAAAATGAAGTCAAACAAACCCCTAGTTTTCTATTTTTGGTTTTTAATTTATTTTCAACAAAACTTGAAACAAAAAGTGATTCAAACAAGCCCTAAAATAAGTTGTGGATTATTTTTTCATATGTATTACCTCTCATAAACATAAATGCTGAATAATATTTGAAACATCGATAACTGCCCACACTATTTACAATGTCACTCTCTCCACTTTTTATTCTTTCTTCTCACTAGAGGTGGGCAACGTGTCATGTCGGGCCGCCGCGGGCCGTGCCTGGTGGTGGCTCGTGTCGTACCTGCATCTTGGCGTGCCGTGCCGGGCCACTATTTAGCACAACCCAGCCCATGGCATGGGTATGACCCACATGCCTAGCGTGCCGTACCGGGCCGTCCATAATATTTTTTAATTTTTTAAATTTTTTTTGAACAACTTTTCAAATAAATATACTATTTAAATAATTTTATTAATTTATGTTTATGTTTTTTCAATTATTAAATTATTATTGTTCTTTTCATTATTCTTATTTTTATTATTATAGTTCTTTATTAGACCATCTCCAATGGTGAGACTCAACTTTGAGTATGGAAATACAAAATGAGTTATTTCTTACCTTCAATGGTGAGATCATACCCACTTCTCAATTTAGCAACTCATGTTAAATCTAATTTTTTAATGGTGAGATTCTCTAAAATATACAAATGTCACTCTTAATTTATGGCCCAAAAATTATTGTAAGATTAAAAAATAATAAAAAAAAAAAGTAAAACTTAAACAAATTACAAAATATATTAGAATATTGACAAGGGCCCACACTTTTTGTCAAAATGAGACTCAAAGTTGAGTATCTAAACTTGGCAACTTTCTTTTGGAGTTGCTAAGTTTAGATACCAACTTATATTGGTATACATTGCAAAAAATATTCTCTCTCTCCTAAAAATACTCACTTGAGTCTTACCATTGGAGAGGGTCTTACTTCCTTCGTTTTTTAATACTTGCAATACTTCCTTAAAATGGAAATGTCACAGTACTTGCAAGTTGCAACACATTATAAATGAAAAAGTTATTTTAGGGAAAAGATGTATTATTTCCCTTATTTAAAACACATGGCCTGTTTAATTACACTCCTAACAACCACTCACCTCACTTAAAAGTGTATTATATCATGTGAACCCCATATTTCTTAAATACCTGAAAAAGTGTGTGTTGCAATTATTAAAAAACGGAGGAAGTATTATTTATGTTATTTTATGGTCGTGCTTGGCGTGTCGTGCTAGCGAGTAAAACTATCGTGCTGCCCGCGGGTTCGTGCAGTGCTCGAGGCGGATTCTTAAAATCGTGCTCACGGCACAGCCCACTCCTCCGTCACCGTGCCGTGCCGCTGGCGGGTTTGTGCCTGGCTAGGCAAGTCTCGTGTCGTGACCATGCCGCATGCAAGCTGGCACGACCAATGCCCACCTCTACTTCTCACACATACTAAAATCTTATCACGCTCCATCACCATGGAACTGCCAAGCCACCATCCCCACTTCCCCACCAACCCCCGTGATCGAGTAAAAAATTATGAAAGATTACTTGTAATCATAGTTATCTTAATCGGGATTCTACCTTAGATCGGTAAGTGGGGTGGAATCAAATCGTATAATCGTACGATTCTACACAATTGAAAAATTGGGCTTATAAATGTAACTAATGAATGAATACATAATTTTTAAGCAATGAGAATGATCATATTGTTGATAACATGATATCAACAATACAAACATTGTCCGTCATGGGATGGCAAACTCTGCTCAATTTTTAAGCAGAAACTATGGCGTGTCTCAATGCTATGAATGGTGTTCAGAGGGAGGTTTTAGTAGTATGATTTTTATAAGGGATGCTGCAATAACTACTACAGAAGGAGAATGCCAGTGATAAGACTGTAGCTTGGACAATAAACAAGATCAAGGAAATAGGTAAAGGGTTTAATTGGTGCATTGCTTGTAAGGAAAAAAAGTAAGGGTAAAAGTAAGGGTTTAATTTCGTATTATTCTAGTTTTTATTTTTTTATTTTTTTTTATATTAATCTGTAATTGAATTGCTTGCTTTCTCCAATGTAAAAAAAAAGGCTATACAAACATAAAATAGTTTTAGAAGTAATTTTGCAAACGCATAGCTCAAATAGTACACTATAGAGTCAGAGTATCAGTATATATACTAGCTTAAGGCCCGTGCCATGCACGGTAAGTTTATTTTGTTTAAAGAAAATTAATTATATCCAACAAATAAAATTTGATAAAACACACAAATCAAATATATATATATATAATTATAATGTCATAATTTACGCTAATAGGCAAAGCAGCAAATTATCTAAAAAATGAATTTTTTAGTCTGCCTAAACTCGAGAATTTTTCAGGCGAGGCTATATTAATAAATACTTATTCATAAATGCATTTTTAATAAACATCAAAAATCAATCGAACAACAAAATAGAATCTCCACTAAAATTATTAGCAAAAGTGCAAACATACACAAAATTACAAATAATATATGTTAATTGAGATGAACACTACAAGATGGGGGGGGTGAATTGTAGATGAGTTCCTAATAACTAATTTTGCAAATATAAAACATAACAAAATAGGAACTTGCAAAGCACACAGGATTTTACGAGGAAACCTTCTAGTGCCCAACTAGAAGTAAAACCTCGACCCTACCTTAGGGATTTCAAACACAAAAACTTCCACTATAATAGGGCAAACACCAAGTTACAACCTATTATAATTAAGCCTCTACTCACAAGTTCCTGAATGAACTTGCTACAGAACAATGCACTGTTCTACCCAGTCTGAGTCCCACACTCAAACTCTCTCGTACTCCCTAAGTACAAATCTTCCCCTTCTCACCAGAAGCTCTCTCTGTATGCAATGATAAAAATACTCTCTCACCCAAATAATCCCAACCAATTACAAGTACAAACACCTAGTATATGATAGGCAAGCTATGCATGAAACCCGAAACTAATATGACAATATAATAAGCTTGGCAAACTTACACGATTATTGCTCTGTAAATTCTTCACGCATAAAACTCACAAAAACCTAAACTCCTATTATTCTCTACTATTTATACAAGTATTACTTGTATAGAAAGTAGGTTTTCACAAAGATAAATAAGTAAAACTTAACTTATCTTAAAACACGATTTTTAAGTAAATCTTTTGAAGAAAATCTTTTCAAAAAATAAGATAGAAATATTGAGTTAAAAAGCATAATATCTTTTTAACAAACTGATTTTAAAAGATAAATATTTAAAGAAAATCTTTTTCTATTTCTATCTTTTATCTTTTCCGATTTTAATTTATTTGCCAAACTAATTGTCACGCTTCTAATAAATTTCATGCATATCCTA